AAAAAAAAGGTGAAGATGAGCAAGATTAATTGTAATTTGAGCCTATTTAGGAATAGAATAAGAAGGTAAGAAATAGTTTGAATGAAATATTTTTTATAATTAAGTTTTGTAAAAAAGAACAGTAGTAAAGTTGGATAAGATATCTCTTAGAATAAACAGAAAATAATTAGATGATACATTGGTATTGTTATCATTAGTTATATTTTGGTGGATAAAGTTGGTAAAAATTGTAGTTGTTGAGAAGCTATATATTGTAATAAATCGTTAAAATTGCTTTTGGTAGCTTGTTGGTTGGGAGCTTCAGGTTGAATAATTCAACCAGGATAGAAATTTAAAAGAAATAGTTTAATAAAGTCAAGAATTTGAATACCAAGAGGTGTTGGAAATTGAGTTTGTTTTTCTACTTTGGTGTTTATTGTGAAAGCTTGAAACCAGTCAAGAGTATTGTTGAGATTATATTTAAATAAATGGTAAGAAAATCTACATTAAGACATTTTTAAAAGAATAAGTATATTTGATAGTTGGTTTATATAAGTTTTGTATTTGTTGTTGAAAATATTCTAAGTTTTTTGTAAGAATTAAAATGATAATAAAAAGTTGAAATAAGAATTAAAATTACTAAGTTTTTTTTGGGTATAGATTTATAAGTTAGGGGTTAAAGATGTGTAAATAATAAGGGTTATTTAAGAAGTGGCTGGTGTGGCTTTATGTATAACCTCATATAATCTTGTATAACTAAATATTTAAATATATATTACAAGTATGGCTGGTATGGCTGGTGTGGCTTGGTGTAACCAAGTGTAATAATGTAACTTGTGTATCGATAAAGTAAAGTTTGTATAAATTTACTAAAACTAAAATAGTAGAATTAAATTTTGTATAAAAATAGATGAAACAGATATTGGGGTTGTATAAATTAATTAGTAGGATTTGCAGATCTTGGATGTTCTAGAGAGGCAGGAGTCCCCAAAAAAAGAAAAAATTTTTTGTAAAAACTAGATAAAATTTTTGTAGCAGAGTTTAGGAGTATTTTAATCGTAGTTTTGTTAATTTTAGTCTGTTTTTTGTATATTATATATCAAAATGAAGCTGTTGATGAGCTGAATCCTTTTGTATTATAGAGCATTAGAGGTTAACTTAATAGAATTTTGAGTTTTGGTTAATAGAAGTAAAATTTAAAAAAAGAGTTATAATTTTGTAAAAAAGAGCTTTAGAAGTTTAAAGCAAGGCTGTCTATAAGTAAAATTTACTGTAGAGCAGTTTTATTTAGATGGCCAAAATAGGTTTATTTAGTAAAATTTAGAGAATAGAGTGATTATTTTTAGAGAAAATTTGGTACAAGTGATTGTCAGAAAGAGTTAGTGATTTTGTCTATTAATATGAGATTAAATTATTAATATATCTTAAACATATTTTGCTTTTTAGATATATTTAATAATAAAGAAGCTATTGGTTTAATTTTTAAGCAATATTTTGTAAGTTCTCTTGTATTTAAAAAGCTTTTTATAAAATTAAAAATACAATTAAAAAATATTATTATTATGAAGTTAACCAGTTTTTTATAATTTTTACTATTTGTTTATATATAATAATAATAAGTAACATATGCTTTCTTATTACTTATTTGAATAAATAATATATATTGCTTATTATTATATATAAACAAATAGTAAAAATTATAAAAAAAATTGGTCCACTTTGTAACAATGATGTTTTTTAATCTTATTTTTAGCCACTCTTCAAATTTTATACAAAGATTCTTTGAATACAAGAAAATTTGCAAAATGCTATTCAAAAATTAAACAATAGCTTCTTTATTATTAAATAAGCCTACAAATCAAAGGTTGCCTAAACTTTACATATAAAATTTAGATACATTGATTATTTGACCCTATATCAAAAATATATATATAACAAATTAGATAACTGCTATAATAAATATTGATTTTATAAATAATTTATATATATGTTTTTTTAGTATTAAAGTGAGATCATGTTTCTTGTATTTTATTAATGCTTAAGTTTATATACTACTATACAATCTAGTTACTTTTTCATACACCTATTATCATACTAATTTCAAAATATGAGATTTAGACAACTTTTATCTGCAAACTAAACCTACTAGAATATTTTATATTCCACTTACATCTTTATCTGTTTTTGTATTTCACAACTTAACTACTTCCAATCACCCAACTATATTTTCTCATGATTCACAATCTAACTTTAGTAACTCCTAATTTGGTTCAATTAAATAATCAATTTTTATAAGCCTCTCAAATTGGTATGCCTGCAAGTGGCCTCAATGCATGCATCTCAAGCCAGGTACTTTGCTGCTATTGCTAGTTTCTTCTTTGATACGATATTGCTTTTTCAAAGTTAGGTAACTCTCCTACTTACCCAACTAGTACTTCTGTCCTATATTTCAAGCCAGAGACCTGTTGCCACTGCTGGTTTGCCCCACATTTTCTTTTTGGTTTTTCATGTGCTTGCATACTTCACTATCCCTTTTGTACTCCCTTTTAAGGTGCTTGTTAGGAACCTGTTTGAGAACCTTGTATACTCTTCCAGCCATTGGCCAGCGTAAACCCAGTACCATGATGCCAAGCAGTCTACTTCTAATCCTAGAATTGGTACGATATCAATGTTGGTAAATCCTAACTCTTTTCGTCCGGAACCAATAAAATAATCAAAATCTTC